GGTCTTTTTGAGACAGGGTCTTCCTGTAGCCCCAGATGACCTGGAACTCACTATGTAGACCAGGCTGGCCTTGAACTCACAGAGATCTGCCTGCCTCTGCCTCCCGAGTGCTGGGATTAAAGGTCCAGCACACCACACCCAGCCTTCCTCTGCCCAATTTTGAAGTGAGTTGTTTTCTTATTAAGTTTTAGGAGTTTTCTGTATATTCTGGCTATTTCTCCCTTATCACATGTTTTGTTTGCAAATATTTGCCTTTTTACTCTGATGATACTGTCTTTATTTTTATTTTTTTTGGTCTTTTTGAGACAGGGTCTCCCTGTAGCCCCAGCTGTCCTGGAACTCACTATGTAGACCAGGCTGGCCTTGAACTCACAGAGATCTGCCTGCCTCTGCCTCCCAAGTGCTGGGATTAAAGGCAGGCGCCACCACGCCCGGCTGATACTGTCTTTTTAAAAAATATTTTATTATTTTTATTTTATGTGTATGAGTGTATTGCCTGCGTGTATGTGAGTGTACCTGTGTCGTGCAGTTCTGTGGTCAGAAGAGGGCTTCGGATTCCCCTGGAAATGGAGTTAAGGACGGTTCGTAGCCGCCATGTGGGTGCTGGGAATCAAACCTGGGTCCTCTGCAAGAGGAGTCAGTGCTCTTAACCGTTGAGCCATCTCTCCAGCCTGATACTGTCTTTTGACACAACAAATTATAACTTTTTTCACAAAGTTCAATTTTTAAATTTTCTTTTGTTATCTGTGTCTTTAGTGTCATATAAGAAACCATTGTCAAAAACACTGTCATGATGTTTGCCCCATGTTTTCTTTTCTTGGCTCTTACCATGTAGCTCAGACTGGAGGCTGGCCTTGAACTCAAAATCCTCCTGCCTTAAGCCTGAGTGCCAGGTCTATAAGTGTGCACCACCATGCCTAGCCCCATGTTTTCTTCTGTGAGTTTATAGTTTTAGGTCTTACATTTAAATCTTTGGTCAATTTTGAGTTAATTTTTTTTTTTTTGAGACAAGTTCTCCCTGTAGCCCCAAATTGGCTTGGAACTTCTTATGTAAACCAGGCTGGCCTCAGTCTCACAGAGCTCTGCCTGCCTCTGCCTCTTAAGTGCTGGGATTAAAGGCATGTGTGACCAGGTGAGGCTTGAGTTAATTTTTAAAAAGATAAAATTGAATTCCCTCTACCTCCTCATTTAAAAGAAATATAATGGTATGGCCTAGAAATAATTTGATACGATTTTTACATGTATACGCAATTTTAAATATGCATGTGTGTGTATCTGTGTGTGTGAGTGTGTGTGTGTGTGTGTGTGTGTGTGTGTGTGTCTGTGTCTGTGTCTGTGTTTATGTGTATTTGTGTGGCTATGTGTTTACAAATACAGGTACCTGCAGAGGCCAGAGACCTCAGATTCCCTGAATCAGGGGGTTACAGTCAGTAGTTACCTGATGTGAGTGCTGGGATCTGAACTCAGGTCCTCTGCAAGAGCAATGTGTGCTCTTAACCATGGAGCCATCTATCCAGGCCCCATTTTGAGTTAATTTTTTTATATGCTGTTAAATAAGGGTCTCCATTTGCATATAGATACCCAATTTTCCCAGCACCATTTATTGAAGACTGTCTTCCCCATTAAATGGTCTTGCTACTTTTGTTGGAAATCATTTGGCCATATATGCAAGTGTCTTTGTCTGGGCTCCGCTCTCTTCCATGGTCTACATGACTGTGTTTTATGACAGCACCACTCTGTTTTGACCATTGTAGCTTTGCAGCAAGTTTTGAAACCAGAAAGTTCTTAAGCTTTATTCTTTATTTTTGTGATTGCTTTGACCATTTGAGTTCCCTGGACATTCTATGTGAATTTTAGCATGCATTTTTCTAGTTCTGCAAAAGATATTATTGGGATGTTGACAGAAATTGCATTGAGTTTATAAATCCTTTTGGGTAGTATCAGCAGATAAGAGTAAGTCATCTAGTTCATGAGCATGGACTGTGCTTCCCTTTATTATATCTGCTTTAATTTCTCTTGGTGATGTTTTCTAGTCACTGTTAATATAAGTCTTTTACCCTCATGACTAATTCCTAATTTATGATTTTTATTTTTCAAGATGGTATTGCTACGTTGCCCAGGCTGACCTGGAATTCACTATATAGCCGAGGCTAACCTTGAACTTGTGATCCTTCTATCTTAGCCTTCTGAGTATTGGCATTATAATCATATACTACTATGCCTGGTATATTTGAGTCTTTTTGATGCCACATTAAATGGAATCATTTTCATAATTTCTTTTCCAGATTGTTCATTGTTAATATAGAAATGCCATGTGTACTGCCTTTATCCTGCTTCTTTGCTGAATTCATTTATTATATTTTGTGTGTGTTAAACTTTTAGGATTTTTTTTTTTTTTTTAGACAGGGTCTCATGTAGCCCAGGCTGATCTTGAACTTTCTATGTAGCCAAGGATGACCTTGAATTCATGATCTTCCTGCTGTCTCCTGAGTGCTGGCGTGGCTCACCATATGATTTATGCAGTGCTGGGGAATGAACTCAGGGCCTTGTGCATGCTAGGCAAACACTCTACTGACTGAGCCACATCCCCAGCCTGGATTTTGTACATAGAAAATATGATCTGTGAACAGAGATAATTTTGTCATTTGAAATTCTTGTGTGTGTGCGTGTGTGCTGTGTGTACGTGTTAGGACAACTTTCAGGAGACAGTTTTCGCTTTCCACCTTATTGAGGCAGGGTCTCTCTTGTTTCTACTGTACTCTAGGCTGGCCCACGAGCTTCCTGGGGATTCCCGCCTCCCATTTTGCTGTAGGAGTGCTGGGAATTCAGATGTGTGCCACTACATCTGGCTTTTTTACATGGGTTCTGGGGATCACACTATGTAGTCAGGCTTCTTTAGCAAGTACTTTTTCCTGTGGGGTCATCTTGCTGCCCTCCTTCCTTTCTAATGGATATATTTTATTTAATTGCTTTTTCCTGCCTAAGCATTCTGGTGATAGTGTCTAGTACTGTTAACAGAAGTGGCAAAAATGGGCATCCTTGTCTTGTTCTCAAACTTAGGGGAAACTTATTAGTCTGAAAATGATCTGTGAGTTTACCATATGATGCTTTTATTATGTGAGGCAGTTTCCTTTGATTCTTACTTTGTTGTGTGTTTTTAAAACTACAAAATGTGGGCTGGAGAGATGGTGCAGGGGTTAAGAGCCGAATGCTCTTGCAGAGGACCTGGGTTCAATTCCCAGCACCCACATGGCAGCTATGAACTGTCCTTAACTCCAGTTCCAGGGGAATCTGATGCCCTCTTCTGACCTCCGCAGCACTGCACGACATGGGTGCACTCACACACAGGCAATATACTTATACACATAAAATAAAAATGATAAATAAAATATTAAAAAAAATAAAACTACAAAATGTATTTCTGTAACCATTTGTTTTGTTTCGCTTTGTTTTGTTTTGTTGAGACAGGGTCTCCCTGTAGCCCCAGCTGGCCTGGAATTGGCTATGTAGACCACGCCGGCCTGACTCTCACAGAGATCCTTCTGCCTCTGCCTCCTGAGTACTTGGATTAAAGGTATTGCACTACCATACTGGACCAACCATTTCATTTATTTATTTATTTATTTATTTATTTATTTTTCTTTTTGGGATAGGGTCTCTCTGTAGCCCCAGCTGGCCTGGAACACACTATGTAGACCAGGTTGGCCTTGAACTCAGAGATCTGCCTGCCTCTGCCTCCTGAGTGCTAGGACTAAAGCCGTGCGCCACCATGCCTGGCTCTATTTCCTTTTTATTTTATTTTTTAAATTTTATTTATTATTTTTATTTTATGTGTATGTGTGTATTGTCTGCATGTAGGTAAGTGCACCCGTGTTGTGCAATGCCCGAGGAGGACAGAAGAAGCTGTCGGACGCCCCGGACCTGGAGTTACAGACAGTTGTTAGCTGCCATGTAGATGCTGGGATACGAACCTGGGTCTTCTGTAAGAACAGTCAGTGTTCTTAACCACTGAGCCATTTCTCCAGCCCCTCCATTTCCTTTTTAATATCAGATATATCAGATATTTGAGCTGTTTTTTTAGAGACCTACTTCTTTGGTTACTTCTTAAAAATGATGGCCAGGCCACACCCAGCTTTCCTGTCTTACTCCTGTCTTTAGAGAAACTGTATTTCTCTAAGTCTCTACCCACTCAGGGCTCCTGCTTGACTGGGCTTCACAGCTATGGGATTAGGTGAAATATCAATACATCTGTATCTCTTTGCTCCCCATAACACATTACCTGCTTTGTTGTGGTAGAATCACCCCACAGGAAGCAAAAGAATTCTGAGTAACTCTCTCACATTCAAAGTATCCAGAGACTGTACTTTTGGTCAATGTATATGAATCCTTTTTTGTAAATTAGAAAGATAAGTTCCCTTTTATTAGACCAGACTGGGGACATTAATGATACTGAACTTGGGTTCAAATAACTGGGCCATATGTAAGACTGGATGAAATTTCATTAGTATCTTTTTTTTTTTTTTTGAGTCTTAGTTTTTTCTCTAGAAAATAAAACTTATTCTAAACCAAATGAGGAAAAAAGTCAAAACAGCATAAACAGATGGACAACTAGCATAACAGGAGAAATTACTAGAGAATCTCATCTCCCCACTTCACCCGCACGTCTGGCGCTTGTCCGTCCCATGTCCTGGTGGGAGCATCCTATGAAATGAATCGCCATTAGCAGTGAATTTTCTTGGTGTTAATTTGGCTGGGGAGGGAGCAAGAATATTCTAGAATCATTGCCCACCAGTGGGTTTCCCTCCTCACTCTTCTACCCCTCAGAAATGCAAGCTCTTTCATTTCTTTCTCTTATTTTACCCAGTAGCTATTTGTCTCCATTTCCTATAGACTGGAAATATAAATTCCAGACATGTATTCAGTTTAACAGAATCCTACCACAATAAAATAGTTTAGCTGTCCTTGGAGTTTGTTATAATGGAATTTTACTTGTATTGCACTGGCTGGGGAGAAAAGTAAAATTGTTAAAAGGAGGAATGTAATGCGGCAGCCAGGGCGGAAGCAGATGGCGCACTTGCTTCCCCACTGGAAAATGCATCACTTATTTCTCCCACTCTCTTCTGGGTCCTAGGATTGTTTTTGGAAAAATAGGTTTCTACATTATTTTTCTCTTCTCTTTAAAATTGGTTTAAAAATTAATCCAGGTAATCCGGAAGTTTGCTTTGGAAGCACTGTTTACATATGTAAAAGAGACCAAGATGTTTGGGAATCTGGGGAGGACACATAGATGGGCAGAGTGCTGGGGACCAGTTTTGGGAGATGCCTAGGAGACACCAGGAGCTCATCAAGGTTGTATTGTTCATGATTTTATTTCAGAGTCTTGACCTGGAGGTGAGAGTGGGATACGGTAGCTCACTCCACTTCAGGAAGGAATCAAACCTCAGTAAAGTGTTAGCATCTTGCAGACGAGGCTGAGGCCTTGATGGATTCCCATAGGAGCTGATTCAGGTCAAGAAAGAAAGATGGGAACTTGCTGTCCTCTGAAAATGGGTGTGGAAATGATGCTCAGGGAGAGGTGCTGATTCTAGCAGTATGAGGAGCCTGAGGGAACAGGGCGGAAATCAAAGTTTTAATTTGAGGAGATACACATGAGGCGATTTCTTAAGGACTTATGACCAGGCAGCTCTGTTTCAGGGTGGTGTCTCCCTTCTGGAGTGACATGGAATTTAGAGGTGGTAGATGGGGTGCTCTTGTGGGGTTTCTAGCCATAAAACTAAAGGAAGAAATCTATTCTTCCTTTCCCTTCTTTTCCCTCCCCCTCAATCCCTTCAGTGGGATAAGTCAGGGGAGGAGATGGGTCTGAGATTTGAGGTACTTGGGTATCATCAAAATTCTCAGTTCTGGGGCAGGAGAGATAGCTCAGCAGTTAAGAACACTGGCTGCTCTTACAGAGGACCCAGGTTCAATCCCCAGCAACCACATGGTGGCTAATAGCCATCCTAACTCCAGTTCCAGGGGATCTGATGCCCTCTTCTGACCTTTGTGGGCATTGCATGACATGGGTGCACTTATTTACACACATGCAGGGAATACACTCATACACATAAAATAAAAATAAATATTAAGGGGCTGGAGAGATGGCTCAGCGGTTAAGAGCACTGTGCTCTTGCAGAGGACCTGGGTTTGATTCCCAGCACCCATATGGTAGCTACAAACCATCCTTAACCCCAGTTCCAGGGGAATCTGAAGCCCTCTTCTGACCTCTGTGGCATTGCATGACATGGGTGCACTCACATACATGCAGGCAATACACTCATACACATAAAATAAATAAAATATAAAAAAAAATTAAAAAAACTCAGCTCTGGGGGCAATAACTTGCCTCCTTCCTCTACAGATAGGGAAGAAATGATTGTTGGTCCAGGGCAGCTAAATACATGACCACAGGTCTTGAGTGACCTGTTTCCTTCTTCCTTTGTAATTCCAATCTAGTGATCTTTGAAAACTGCTATCACATTGCTGCTTGGGCACATGGAGGTAAGAAGCTATTACAGTGGTAAAATGCAAGCGGCACACACCCGAGCACTGGGGCACTGCTCTCCAGCTCAGGCTGCCGAATGCTTTTCCCGTCTGGGCTGACTCTGTTTTGCTGGGGCCTAGGGCTTTGCTGCACAGCCTCGGGTTACCTGTTTTCATCTTCTCTTCTATCTCGTTCTTCAGTTTCCTGTTTTCCTGCTGCAGATGGACTATTATGTTGTGGAGGTGGCTGTGGGAAGAGGAGGGAGGTGAAGAGGTCAGGCAGATGCTTAGTCTGCATACTCTCCTTGGCTTCTTGCTGGAAGTCTGTCCTTTCAGAGCAGGGTTCTCACACATGCCCATCTGTGTCCTGTGGAAGAAGCCTAGACCTAGTACTCCTGACCGAACTCTGCCGGCTCTTGGCTGTTGTGTATCTTTTAGGTGGGGACAATCCAGCCCAATTTCGCTATGGGGTTCATGGAAGGACTCAGTGTGACAAATGATGGAAATCTGACTTGAATACCCAAAAGGCTGCTGTGAACAATTCTGACCACATGTCCTTTGAGTCCTCATAGCTACGCTGGGACACACTCTCACCCAGTATGGAAGCCATCACTCAAGTTCTCTCTGCTCCCCTTTGCTGATGAAGAGAGTATGGGGTTCATGGTTCTGTTGAGAACCTGACCAAACTTTTTTTCCCCATTTTATAGATGAGGCAGTGGAGACAGGGAGGGAGGTCAGAGGAAAGATAATTTAGCGTATTCCACATGGCTCCATAGATAGCAGTTGCTATCAATAACTGTATGTCTTCCAACTAATCTAGGGTGCAGTGGATGATGGGAGCTCTGCAGGTAGACCAGCCTCCCAGATCATCTCTCTCCTCCTCTATAAATGGGGTCCATTAACACACAGTCCCTGACTTGATGCTTACAAAATTTTGACTCCTCAATGGTGTGGAAATGATACACATTCATTAGGACACTGTACTTTGAATTTGGAGCTTTTCCCAGATGATCAATATGTGGCCCAGGCCTCTCGTGAGGTGTTGAAAAGTGGCAGTGAACTACAGCTCTGTCAGGCACAACCACTTGCTATGAGTGCAATGTGCTGCAAGTTAAGGGTATTACATGCATGCTTGACTTAATATTTTCAACTTACAAAGGGTTTATCCAGGCAGAGCCCCATCTTAGGTTAAAGAGCACCTGTATGCTCAACTCACGAGGTCTTAAGAAGATTAAATAAGTTAGTATGTATAAAGTGCTTATAACAGTGCTTCCCATATGCTGAATAAGAGGTATTTGTTGAGGGACTGGAGAGACGGCTCAGTGGTTAAGAGCACTGGCTACTCTTGCAGAGGACTTAACACTTACATGGCAGCTAATAACCATCTGTTACTCAGTTCCAGAGGGATACAACACCTTCTTCTACCACAGACATGCATACACAAGGTACATGCAAGAGTATATAGAGGTAAAACATTCATACACACAAATAAATAAAAAAATTAAGAAAAGTTTTTGGTCTTTTTGAGGCAGGGTCTCCCTGTAGCCACAGCTGGCCTGGATTCACTATGGAGACCAGGCTGGCCTCGAATTCAGACATCTGCCTGCCTCTGCCTCCTGAGCGCTAGTATTAAAAGCATGCACCACCACACTCGGCAGAAATAAAAAATTTAAAAGAAAAAGCCTGAAGTTATCTGTGACTCGTCTGTGTGTGTTGGGGGGGGCAGTGCTAGAGATTGAACTCAGGGCCTTGCTCACACTGGATGAATGCTCTCCTACTGAGATAAAGCCCCAGCTTTTTCTCCAATGTTTTATTGTTGAGGCAGGATCTCACTAAATTACGCAGGCTGGCCTTGAACTTGAACTTGCAATCCCAGTCTCTGCCATCAGGTGTTGCTGAGATTCTGATAACTGTTCTTTTAGCTAAATCTCTTTGTAAAATGTTTTTGTCCAGTGGAATGTGTCATTGTCCTTTCTAGAAGAAATCATATAACTTAACCCTTAGCTCTCCTCTGGTCATGTGCCTTACCCTTGTGCTCTCTACAAACCTGGCCCATGCTGAAGACGTTTCTTCCCCTGTTGCCTCTTAATATGCTACTGGGCTGGAGGTGGGTCCTGGCACAGCCCTCATCCTCGGGGTGGGGGGCGTCTCTTTACTCAGCATATCTGATGCCTTCCTCATCCCATACAACCCATCGAGTCCTGGCTCCTGGGTTTCCTAGTCCCTGCCTTGTTCTTCCAACTCATTACCCAACTTAGAGTCAAAACTTAGGACAGAGCTTTGCTTCTGGGAGCCACAAATGGGTTCCAGGTGTGCTTGAGAACAGACACCTTCAGCAGAGTTTGGGGTAACAGCTGTTTGGCCAAAATTGTCATAAGCAAGCCCTCCCCAGACCATCGTGGAATATTGAAAGCATGGTGATTCCTAAGTGTTCCCTGACAGAAGCATGGGAAACACTGTCTGAAGGCCTGTTAACACCTGCTGCTTTACTACCTCCAAAATTCTTTTAGACACCCATTTCTTTACCTCTGTTCTCAAACCTCCTGCACTTCTCCCATAGCTCATTTCAATAGATGCAGCTTTGACCATGGAGGTGAAGCAAGACCACAAGGGCAGGCAGAACTATGAGTACAGGAACCTTGGTTTTCAGATCCAGGTGGAGCAGAGAAACCTTTACCCTGGGCTGCTTACCTTGAACTGTTCCTTTCATGCTCCTCCACTGGGGACCTCTGTTAGAACCACTGAGTCCCTACCCAGCTACTGCAGCTGCCTACTCCCTTCTTAATGCTCTCAGCCTCTGAGAGTCACAAGAGGTGAGAGGAGGGCGGGGTAAGGAGATTTCACCCCTCTTTGTGTTGCTGGTGAGGGAGGGAATTAAGGTCCAGTGCAGTCAAGTGATAAGCCAGTGTCACATGAAGTACCATTTCAAGTCTCAAGGGTCCTTCCCAAGTACTCTGCCTTTCCCTGGGGCTGATCCCCATCTGTAATGATAAAGCAACTTGGGATAGTCCCAAGAGGGAGATGTATTGATGGTGAGGGGACAACTTATTCCTTTTCACCAGTCAGCTTGGCGATGTATTTGACCTGTTCACGGAGCTTGTTTCCCAGTTTCTCATTGGCGACCCTGTGATAAAATGCACAGTAAGAATGGCTCATTTCCCAGGCCCCAGTGAGCAAGCTGACTAATCAACAGACACTGCATGTTCCCAGCAGGGCTTCTGCTGGATCCTAGGCCCCCATCACTCTACCCCTAGAGTAGAGCTTGGCTAGTACCAGGCAACTGAAGACTCTCATGTTCAGAGAGTGTGCATGTTTTCAAGGGAATGGGGTCAAGGAATCCAGATGAAGCTGGATCCCAGGTTGGGCAGAGGAAGCCTGCAACCCATTGGAGCATCCCTTACATCTGACGCTACTTTGCCCCTACATTCAGGCTTTGCTAACCTGCCTGAAGGACTGGGACCACTCTGATCCCCAGCCCTTGAGTGTGAGCTAAGACTGGATCAGTTTTTCAGGAGGGTGTGTATGACCACTCACTGTGGTTCTCAGTTCAGCCTGGACTTGGGACCTGCTCTTACTGGTTTTCCATCCTTACTTCTGCTCTTTTGTCCACTGCTCCATGTCGCACATAATCTGATCATTCTCTTGATGGAGCCGATAGGTGTCTTTGGGTGCTGAGCATGAGGGCAGGCAGCACGGCTTTGCATGCGGGAAAAAAATAAGAGTAAGGGGTAGGAACACCATCTGGCACCACCCTCCCTGAAATCCAGATTCTTCTTTCTTCCTGGGAGAAGAAAAATCAGCTCTGCTGCCCAACCCGGGGCCAGGGATGCCACCCAGGACCTGTACCCCACACAAAGGTGATGTCTTTGGGGGAGGCACCATTCATAGCAGTAGAATTGAACATTACAGCAACAACTTTCAGGCTAAAAGCAATGAAGTGACTTGTTTTAAAAAAGCATGCCTAATCAATTTCATAAAAGATGAAAGAAAAACATCTAGAAGAAATGGCTTTTTCTAATTTCAACAAAACCCTGGTGGCTTCCCCAAGATGTCCTGAGACTTCCTGCTGTGAATTGTACTCAGGTAGCTGGATGTGGGGCACGTCTCAAAGGTCACTTAGCCAATTCTACTGCAGGTTCTGGGGTGACACAATGTGTCAGGATGTGCCAGGAGGGGTTGTCTGAGTGGTGGCTAGAATGGGGCTTTGTTATGATCTATATTTATCAACAAAGCCCCCCCCCAACAGGTGAGTTGAGAGGTAGCTCTGGAGTGCCCAGGCCCTGTTTCCTGCTGAATGGCATGTATATGTATATCTGGGCCCTTCTCTTGCCCCTGGCATCCTCCCCTGCCTAGCCAGGAGGAATGGAGAAGAAGTGACAGAAGCTGAGGAATGCACACCTCCTTCTCGTCCGCAAGGAGTATTTCTTTCAGGGTGGCCATTTCCTCCTGGAACTCCCGCAGTTGCGTCTCCTTGGCCGCCAGCATCCTGAGGTCATTCTGGTGCTGTTTCTGCCACTGAAGCACCTGGTTGCTCATCTCCTCTAGCTTCTTGTCAAAGGCTTGTACCTGCTCAGGAGTGCAAAGTGAGGGGCGGGGTAGGCAAGCCAGAGGGTGCCCTCTTCACCCTGGAAGACTTGCTTGGGGCTGCCCTTTATTTCTAGTGGCCAGCAGAGGGCACCCCTGTTCTGATCTTCACTGCCTGCCTGACATTCCAGAGGCTGAGAAAGTGGAGCAAAACCAGTAGCTAAAGGGTATGGCTTGGTGCTAACTAATTCTGCATGCAAAAGGCAACCTTGCCCATGGACCCCTAAAAGGAAGGCAGCCCAAGCCCCGACTTCTCACCTCTAGCTCACTTTCCTTGTGGAAACCCTGTAGTTTTTTAAATTCCACATTGAACTTTTTCATCCTGTCCTCATAAGCCATGATTTCATCTTCCAGCTGTGATTTCCTCTCTTGGGTCTGTTGCAAGCTGCGCTGCAGGCTCTTTGTCTCGGAGGTTGCGTGATTGAGCTTCCAGTAAAGACACAGTGGATAAGAGAGTTCATCAGGGCCTTTTGGTCCTCTCTGCTGAGTCTTTAATGCAGAAGGATTCCAAGCCCTCCCTGTCTTCAGCCCAGGGTGATACCTATGGTCACCTTGTCTGGCATTCCAGAGAGGTGGGAAGTGACAGTGTTTAGTTTTCTGCATCAGCCTCCCGAGTCTTTCATTCCCTCCTCCCATTTCTTTTCTTTCTGCTCTGATGAACTGGTCTGCAGAGATGGTGCATGAATTTCCCTGGCAACCCAAGTTTTGGGAAAAACCTTGCACCCAAGTCATCTGCGACCAGAAAGACTTGTTAGATGTTGCCACGCACAACAAGTAAAAGCCTTACTAAGAGACTGCAGACTTTCATTGGGAAGACACTGCAACCCAGGCAAGGACTGAGATGTTCAAAGGATTGTCAACCCAAGAAACTGGTTCCTGCCCAGTCAGGTTCTCTGAATTTCTCTGCACACTTCCCTGGAGATGAATGGCTATGGCCTCACCTTTTCCAGGGCTTGGGTCAGGTCATCTTGGCAGGCGCCTAACTTCCGGCAGATGTCTTCATAGACTTCTTTAGTGACCATGTTCTGGAAACTCTTTTCTTTTTGTATAGCTATTTCCAGCTTTGTCTGCAGACTCATGAGGGTATCTTTCTGGCAGTTTATCTTTAGGGAATGAGAACATCACTGTCAAGGTCCCTGTTTCTGTCCACAGAGGTAGGGTGGATATTGTGGGAAGTGACAAGAGCTGAGCTCTCTGTCATAACCTGCTATGTTCACCCCCATAGCTTCTTGTCACTGTTGTGAAAAGCAGAGCTGTCTTTCCTGCCTCCCTTCAGCCACATTTCCCTTTCTAGCTAGTATATCCCCAATAGAGCAGCACTGAAATTACTAGGGTATGATTTTCCAGGTACAGAGTCCCTTTCATAGACTACAGCCTTTGTTAAAGTTCTGGAATCTAGGCTGTGGAGATAGTTCATAAAGTGCTTGTGTTGTAAGCACGAGGACCTGAGTTAGATCCCCAGAACCATGTAGAAAGATGGGTATGGTGGTATGTGTTTGCAATCCCAGTGCTGGGAAGACCCAGACAAGTGGATCCCTGAGATTCACTGGCCAGGCAGTTTGGCCTTCTCAGTGAGCTCCAGGTCAGGGAGAGAGTCTGTCTCAAAAAGAAAAAAAAGATGGCTGAGGAGCTAACCTGAGGTTGTCCTCTGGCATCCACATGCACATACAAACATATGCTCCTGTATACACACATGCACCTGTGTGTAGACACACACACACACACACACACACACACACACACATCTAGATTCGTATCTACAATCCAATCCCAGGCTCATAGATATGGTATAGCATTTCAATTGTGTTTTATGCCTTCCCTAGTTCTTGACAGCATTCACTAGACTTGACACTCCTTGAAAGTACTGCCCTACATGTGTTTTAATCATTTCTGCCCCCATTGCTATAGCTTACAGCATGGCATACAGTAGGTATATAATGAATGTTAATTTTTGATTGAATGGAATATTACATTGTTCATTCAGAGATTCAAATATTGTGTGAAGCTGGGGTGCGTGGTTAATTGAACACATAGTTCTGGCAGAAATATATTTAAAAACAACCCCAAGGCCAGGCATGATGGAGTACACTTAATCCCAGCACTTGGGAGACAAAGGCAGGCAGATCTCTGTGAGTTCCGGGTTAGCCTGCTTTACATAGCAAGTTCTAGGCCAGCTAGTGCTATGTAGTGAGACCTTGTCCCAAATAAATGAATAAATAAATAAATAAATAAATAAATAAACTCTGTTTTAAATTTGGTAATGAGCATACCCGGTGTGGTTAAAATGCAATTGGGATGTAGAATCCAACAATCTGGGTTGAGGGCCATGTTCTGTCCTTTAATTATTTCTCTGGCTTCCATTTCTGCTTCTATACCAGGAGAATTTAAATTATTTCATACAGTTTTTGTGATGACCAAATGAGATGATGCATGTAGAAAGGGGTTTGTAATGTATCAATTGCTATATGGCTGTGAATTATTATAATGAGCGAGTCATCTCCTTGTAGACTTTAAGTCTAAGACAGAGATCAGTTTCTAAGTTGAAGCAGAAGGTAAACTTTAAAAATGTGCATGACTACAAAAAGGCTCTATATCCTACTACAGAAATACCTGTTCATCCATGTTCATTGCTGCCTTTTTCAGAATAGGAATTGGAAACAATCTAGACCATCCTGAGTGAGGTAACCCAGACCCAGAAAAACAAATGTTGCATGCTCTTTCTCATGGCTGGATGCTTTGAAATCTTAGATATGCATGTTTCAATTTGAAAATCCAGAGAGGTCAAAAACTATAAAAGGGTCATTGGTGTATGCATGAGGCTTCCTGGGAGGGGAGGTGGAATTTGATGATATAAAGGGGGAAAGGGGAATAATAGAGCAAGAAGGGTTAAAGGGGTCAGGAATGGGAGAGTGGTATAGAGGAGGGAGCATGGGGAGGGATAACTAACACTAAAAGTCTTTAGAAAAAGCTATATGGGGGGCTGGAGAGATGGCTCAGCAGTTAAGAGCACTGACTGCTCTTGTAGAGGACCCGGGTTCGATTCCCAGCACCCACATGGTGGCTACGAACTGTCCTTATCTCTAGTTCTAGGGGAATTTGAATTCCTCTTCTGATCTCTGTGGCATTGCATGACATGAGTGCACTCACATACATGCAGGCAATACACTCATACACATAAAATAAAAATAATAAAATATTAAAAAAAGAAAAAGCCATATGGAAACCTACCAGTATAAAAGCTTCTTAAAGTATATACATATACATTATAAAAAGAGATTAAAAGGAATTACCTTATAACAGGAGCATATTGCTCATACTAGGCACCATAGACTTGCAAAGTAAAAGCTTAATGCCAGGAAGTTGTTGACCAGGAGGTATACCATAGACCCACCCTCAAACAATACTGGCCATTGCTGCTGCTCTTGGTTACCCACCAGAACTCTAAGGCAAGACCTAATTGCTGAAGATACTACATACATGAACTGTAGAACAAACAAGGAGAAATCAAACTGGTGTTGACTTCAAAGCCTCATCTCTACTGTCTAGCTTTCATAGTGCTGGAAGGTGCTATGCAAGCTACCCGAAGAGAAAATTTAGCATGAACCTTACCAAACTGTGAATCCTGTGAGCTACAATAAGAACTGGCTGGGAAGATATGCTCACTGATGCCATAGTGGCATGAATATTTTAGGAGTAACCAACTACTCTCTAATTGGATTTAAGGTCTGCTTCATAGGATGGATCCCATAATTGACATTGATATCAGGCCTAGGAGCAAGAGGCTGGACAGTCCACAGGCCATGGGAGAAAGCCCAATACAACAATTCTGCTTAACAGTTAATAGTATTAAACTGATTTCTAATGGCTTATTGTTATACCTATAGATTAATGCATCTCTCAACTCTCAGCAGAGAAGCTTCCTTATAGAGCAGATGGTAGTTAACACAGAGAAACACAACTAGACAATGTGCACAGAATAAGAGGCTGCAGACTGGTTATCCCTGAATAGGATATCTATATCAAACTTCTGCCTCCTAAGGCTCACGGATTATTATGAAAGAGGGGACAGAAAGATTGTAAGAGCCAGAGGAAGTAGATGACCACAAGGAAATAGAGTTTTCCAGATAGCTGGTCAGTTACTCATATGAACTCACAGCAATGTTGATAGCATGGATAAGTCCCATGTAAGCTCAAGTCAGATAAAATCCCAGCATAGTCATGGGGAACTGGGTAAGAAACCCCAATCCTACCCGAGGGACTACTGGCAACCGATGGCTGCTGGGAAGAAGAGATTCAATCTCATTTAAGGGTGAGACCCTTAGTGGGTTGATCAGGCTCCAGTGAATAAACTCATAATGAAGGGTATTTGGGGACACAAACCTGACTCTATAGGCATACATACAAAATATATTAGAGTTTTATATTATATATGTACTATAAAGCATAGACCAACCAGGTTTTCATGCCCAACAAGTGAACCACAAAGGTACAAAAATTTGGTGGGGAGCTAGAAGGGGGTGTAAATATGGGAAGGATGTAAATATGTATGTAAGTACAATAAAAATATATTGTATAAAATTCACAAAAATTAAAAAAAAACAAACCAAAACAACGATTGCTTGCTTTGTCCTATAGTCATTCCATCCACTAGTCTGGCTAATTCTGTTAGCAAAGTCTTCCCTTGCACATTCTAATCTGCACATCTTCCTGCCTGGTCTCACATCTACATCTATCTCTTCCCCCAACTCATTTCTGCAAATTGCTCAGTTTCATGTCTCTTGTCCTTCTGAGGAAGTCCTATCAATAGCTTCCAACTGCTCTTAGAATAAAACTTAGAACTTCTGAACAGAGGACATGATGTTTGCCTTATCTTCTTAGTCTTATCCTATACTAATATCTCTCTTGATCAATACACTCCAGTCATCAGGCCTTATTTCACTTCTTACATTATTCCAAGTATGTATTAAAAGAAATATCCATGACACAAAATCAGGATTCAAACTAGAAATACAAAGATGAGCCAAAATTATGGTTAATTTTACCAAATAATTGCTTTAAGAAGAAAGATCACAGTATTATTATCTTGATAGTTAAAAATGACACTTTAAAAAATTCAACACAAAACCAGACATGTAGATCAATGGAACAAAATAGAGGACCTAAACATGAGTGCAATCAATTTCAGCCACGTGATACTTGGCAAAGGTACTAGGAAGACACACTAGAGGAAAGACAACAAATGGCGCTGGGAAAAATGGATCTCCACATATAGAAGAATGAAATTAGACCTATATCTATCACCCTGCACATAAGTCAGTTCCAATCCAAATGGATTGTTCAAAAACCTATATGTGAAACCTGAAATGCACACACATCTACAATGCAACCTCACACCTAAAACTCAGGGAACAGAGGGGTTGAAAGATTATTAATGTAGCTTTCAACTCTCACCAGGGAAACTTCCTCATGCAAAAGATGGTGACTAACCCAGAAAGCCACAACTGGCCAATGTGCAGAAAATAAGAGACTGCAGAGTGCTTATCCCTGAATAGGACATCTATACCAAACTTCTGCCACCCAAGGCTCAGGAACCACTGCACAAGAGGAGGTAGAAAGATTGTAAAAACTAGGGAGTGGTTGATGACCACAAGGAAACAGTTTTCCAGACAGTTGGTCAGTTACTCATATAAACTTAACAGCAATGGTAATAGCATGCACAAGACCCATGCAAGCTCAAGCCAGACAAAATCCCAGTATAAAATTTGGAAAGAAGCCCCAACCTTAGCTGTGGAACTACTGGGAAAGGGGAGAGGGAGAATTGGGTTTCTTTAAGGATGTGACACTAAATAGGTTAACCAGACTCCAGTGGGTGGATGCATACAGAAGGACATCTGATCTGGGGACACAAACTTGACTTGATAGGGCTTAATACAGATGACAGAGTACATGGAATCTGGTGTGTGTGGGGCTATAAGAGGGGTGCAGATAGGGGAGGGAGTCTAAATATGATCAAAATATATTGTATGAAATTTGCAAAATTTCAATAAAATTAAAAAATAAATGTGCGTATAAAACAATAATAAAGAGGAAGACAAGAAGTTGTGAGGGAGATGGGGGGCAGACATGGAAGGAGTTGGAGGGGGAGTGGGAGGGATGGAAATAATGCAAATACAATACTCACATGGGAAATTCTCAAAAAAGAGCTTAAAAAATTCAACCCATACTAATAAAACTCTTAGTAACTAAGAAATTGAAGAAACTTGATAAAGGTAGCAAGGAGCCCCCAGAGCACTGAAGCAGATGGATTCCATTAATTAAGAGCAAAGAATAAGATGCCTGCTAATGGTGCTGATGTTTGCCATCATACCGAAGGTGCTGTCCAATGCAACAAGGCAAGAAAAATAAATGCACATAAATATTGCAAAGAAATATTTAGAAAGCTGTTGTTGTTTACAAATAATTTAATTATCTACTAAAAACAATCCATAAACTGGATGTGGTGGTGCATGCCTGGGGGTATGCGGGGGGTAGAGGCAGGAGTATCATGAATTCAAGGCCAGCCTATTCTACATAATCAGACCTTGTCTCAAAAATTTCATGAGCTTAGCAGACAAAAGGCCCTGGATTTGATCCCTCACACACACACACACACACACACACACACACACATACACACAGAGTCCTATGTGAATCAACAGAAAAACAATGATAACTTATGAGTTCAATAAGATATCTAGAGAATTAATATATAAAAATGAATGAGATTTCTTATTAATATTAAAAAGTATAAAATATAGTGGAAACATCAAATAAATGGAAAAGATCTCAGGATTTATAGTGCCTTGTTTTCAAATCCCCAAATTTTACATTAAAATATGGGATGGTGATTAAAAGAAGTGTATTTTTAGAAAGCAAAACTAAACTATTTGTAATAGCTATTTCAACTAATTCATTGACTCTATTATATGTGTGGGAAATGCTTTTTAAAAAGTTGAACTTATTATCACAGCAAGGCAGAAAGTGCTGCTCTTAGAATACTGAAAATGTTTTCAGATTTTTTTTCTGTATTACACAGGACTAAGAGCTGCCTGGTTTTCATTTGTAGCCCAAGAGACTTATCTTCTAAGAACTATATTTTTTTTTCTCGTCCAAAAAGATGTAATATATTCCGTTGGCGAAAGTATCCCCACTCGTCTGAAGAAAAAGGCCAGGAATTACCATTGGATGATCCAGGTTCAAACACTGCTTCATCCCATCCCTTACTAATTAGTGACTTTGGGATTCAGCCTTTCTTTCCTTTGTAAATGGGGAATCATAGTAATGTACACTCTGGCAAGAGTAAAGCAGGTGGCAGGAATGTGTGGAAAATGGCTGAATTCCAGCCTGGTCAGCATGGTGGGCAGTGTGTGTCACAGGCCTGTCACTTTCATCTGTGTAATTAAAAGTGAACTGAAATGAAGCAGCTTCCTTCTGCCCCTTTTTTGTGTTTTGCAACTAGTTTATTTTGTTCTGTTTTGGTCTTTTTGAGACAGGGTCTCCCTGTAGCTGGAATTCGCTATGCAGACCAGGCTGGCCTTGAACTCACAGAGATCTGCCTGCCTCTGCCTCCTGAGTGCTGGAATTAAAGGTGTGGGTACTGGGATTTGAACAGCCAGACTCTTAACTGCTGAGCCATCTCTCCAGCCCCCCCACATCCCACACTTTTTAATTCTTTGTCCGTGAAAATGAACACAACAGTAACCTTAGACTGATAACACCAGTTGCAACATACCTCCACGTTCAGGTCTTGGATGATTTTCTGGGAGCTGTTGTATTTGCTGATAAACAATTCCAGTTGTATAGAGTGGTACTTTAAATCTGCCTGGAGAGTCTCCTTTTCCTCCTCCAGCTTTCTCAAATTCTCTTTTGCCTGCTCTCCCATTAAACAGCAAAGCCCCCCGAGAGAAAGGCTAACCTGAGACTGCAGTCAAATAGGAGTGCCTCCTTCCCATCCCTCAGCTCCTCCTCTGTCCTGGGGTGCCCCAGGTCTCCTCAACTCTGCTGCTCACGGTGGGTCCCCCTTTCCCTCCTTTCTCTTCTGAGTTCTGAGCTCCCAGGGTCTCTGCAGCCCTTGTGGCTCAGCTAGTTTCAGGTCTGGCCCTGGATTCACAATCTGACTCTTCCCAGATTTTCCTCACCATCTTTTCCTTCTGTTTTGCTTCTCGCAAAGTCTCAGTTTCTTCCTCCAGCAACTTTTCCTGCTCTTTGCTCTTTTTCAGCTGTTCCTGTTTCTTCTCCAGGGATTTTTTTACCTCCCGAAGTTCCTCTTCTAGTTCGCTTTTGGCATTCAGTAGTTCCCTTTGCTGAGGGGAAAAAAGTCTGGGCTGAAATATAGTCATACAGTATTATACTTGGGAAAAGAAATCAGCAGTTGAATGCAGGGAAGGGTGGAAACAAGCAAGAGGATCATTTCTTGATTCCATGGCATATGTGATAAAAAGTTCGCTTTCATGTTCTACAACATTTTTTGAGTTAACAAAACCAATTTTTTTTTATGGGTTCGATTCTTGTAACATCAGCCTTTTTTCTCATTTAACCAAATCTTCACATAAAACCTCTTTGAAGAGAGTTTTAAATAATCTTAGAAGAGCAAAAGACAATAGTTTTTGAATCCTAGAAAGGATACCATTGAGGGCTGGGGCTATAGTTCAGGAGGAGAGCTTTTGCCTAGTATGCACAAGGGCCTAGGTTTCATCCCCCAAACTGCAAACAAACAACACACCAACTCATATTATCCTGTTATTTTTAAGCTTAATCCTTGAAAATGCTTATTACTGATCATTGGAACTGGTCCAAAGTGGCTGGCATAGCAGCCTAACACAAAATGATGCTCTGGTTGGCCTAGATAGTGGCAACATCTTCCCAAATAAAGACTGACCCAGTTAACCTTAGGTGGGACAGATATCAGGGGTGGCTGCCTGCTAGCCCTTGTACCTGTTGCTGAATGAGTCTGGCATGATCAAGAAAGTTGTTTACTTTCTTTTCTTCCTCATCCAGTGTCTTCCGAAGCTGCTGCTTTTCCTTCTCTGAATTCACAAGCTTCTTCTGGACCCCAGCAAGTTCAGAGGTCATATCCTCAATCTGTTTTCTACCACAAAGTAACCACAGGAAGGACTTCAGAGCCTGTGTTGGAGGATTGTGGAGCTGGTCCCACCCTGAGGAGGCCCTGTAATGTCACTGCCCCGTATCTGGGCAGCTGCCCACTGTAGTCCATGGAAGGGGTGGAGGTACCTGCTGCATAATCGAGCCTCTTCAGCTGCCCCCAAATCCTTCTGCAGCTTCTGCACCTGGTTCTGCAGTTCCTGGATGCTCTCCTCCTTCTGCTTCTCTAGGAGAATGCAGCTCTGAATTTTCCGCTGAGCGCCCTCCAGATTGCATCCTGCCACCCAGGCCTTCTCCTTATTCTGGGCTGCATTCTGAGCTGCAGAAGCCAGGGAGGGATCCAGGTGAGGAGGAGCAGATCTCAGACAAGACCTGCTAAAGACCATTCTTTCACTCTGTGACATACTTCTTTTCCCAGCCTGTCCTCACCTCTCCTGCCATCATCAGTCTGAAGCAACTCTGCTAAATCGTCTGTCTTCAACTACCCTCTAGCCATGGATTCCTTCTTGACTAAAATTAAACAAATTGACAGAAATTGTCCAGCATCTCCAGTATGCCTCATCCTGTCATTAGAGAAAAATCCCTATCCTCAGTTTATAGTCTGGTGAGCCCTCTAATTGGCCCTTCCATTGTAGAAAGCACTGGAATATTGTTTATTGATTTATCGATTATTGATGTACTGGGGATCAAGCACACGCAAAACACATGTTCGACCACTGAGCTACATCCTGGAGTGGGAATATTTGAATGTTAAACTCACACTGTCCATGAACTGCTATGACAGCTGTGGATGGACTTGCAAAGAGGGACAGAGTTTGATCCGGCCTTGGAGGAAGGAGTAAGTTCTAGGGAAAGGCTGTTGGAACAAAGGTGCTGGGAAGGGACTAGACAGGGCATGGGGGGGAGGTGTGGAAGACTAGTTGAACTGGAATGGAAAATGGGAGGAATGGCGAGTGGCAGCTGAATAAGAATGTGGATAAGAGAGGTTCAGAGGATTGGAAGCTTGAGAGGGGTGGTTAGCACTGACACAGTGAGCAGAGACCAGACAAGAAGGGAAAGGTCACTTTAAGAACATCACAGTGTCACTGGGCATGGTGGTGTGTGCCTGTAATCCTAGCATTTAGGAGGTAGAGGCAGGAGGATTGCCACAAGTTCAAGGCCAGCCTGGTCTACATAGTGAGTTCCAGGCCAGCTAGAGCTACAGAATGAGACTGTTTCAGACAAACAGAAAATAGAAAAGCATTAGATTAGAGAAAGACTGAGCAATACTAATCCCCCCTCTGCCCCCGTGTCTCCCGTGAGGGAAGGGTACATAGTGAGCTTTGTGCTGGGGTTCCTTTTGGTTGAGTGTATTTCCTTATCCTACGGTTACCTTCCTCTAAACACAATTCTTTCATTCCTTCCTTCAAGTTTCCTGTTCTGGGATACCAGAAGAAAAAGTGATGTCTCTAAAGAAATGATGTCACACTGTGGGAAAGGAGAGTCTAAAAAAGATACTGAAGAGATTAATTTCAGTATTTTGGAAATGCTGAGAGGAGGAGGTGGGACACTACGGGGATGTTATTTTCCCAGAACAGGACTAAGGACAGCTGCAAAGTTACTGTGGAGACTCTTAAGTTTTAGCTACAGGAGGAAGAAGCAGCTCATTAAAGAATAGACTGAGAGGGGGAGAGGGTGGGGCAGTGTCTGTGGGGTGAATGACTCCTGTCAGTGTGGGAGAAAAGAGAAAACAGTGGTTTTATCCGTGGAAGCCTGGAAAGGAATGTCCTAAAAGCTGAGGAATGAGGGTCGACTGTGAGGAGCTAGGACACAGGGAGAGAGGAGCCAAACTTTGGATCTTCTTTTAAATTGATAGCTAATTTGCCTAGCATAGAATTTACCCCCTTTAAAGTTTGCAATGTAGTGGGTTTTAGTAAGCTCACAAAGGTCTATAACCATCAACCAAGTTGGAACATTGCCATCATCTCCAGAGAAACCCTGTACCCAAGGTAAGAAAGATGTGATTGGTGACCCAAGAAAGGAGTCTCCTCAGAGGAGTGAGGACAGGATCCCCAGTGCAGGCTGTACAGAAGAGAATGTGCTTGGAGGCAAAAAGGAGAAGGGAGAATCGAAAACCAGGGAAGGGGAGAAGCAAGATGTATAGTGAAGAGCCTGGAGATTGGAGTCAGAATGTGGTGCCAGGAAACAGGAGAGCCCTGGGTCACAAAGGAGCAGGATGTTCATCTGAGGTGGCTGAGGCAGGGCCTTCAGAGAGGCAGTAAGCTAAGAGGTAAGTGAGGGAGTTCAGGAGAGTTGAGGGAACTGCAGCGAGGCACAGTTCATGAGGTCATGGGATGTGGCGTAAGAACTTGGAAGTGGCTATTTGGAGAAACAAGGCCAGAAGCGTGGTGGGACAGTGTGAGTTTGGGACAGTGTGAGCCTGGGCCTCACCCCCCAGAGTCTGCAGCTGTCTGATCTCCTCGCAACTGTTCTTCAGCTTCTGGTTCTCGTTCCGCAGGACCTCATATTCCACCTTGGACTTGTCCTGCTTCGCCTCCTTGATGGTCACCTTGAGATCTTTCATCATGCACTGTTGCTTCTCCGGCTCCAGCTCTTTCTTCATAAGGCTGTCCTGCACCTGTGTCAGCTTTTTCTCTAGCTCATGAAGCATTTCATCCTTGTCTTGGAGCAACTGAGGAGATCAAAGGAGGGATGCTGGCAGAGGCCTGAGCACCAGCAAGTGGCATCATTTGGAGATCATCCCAAGCCTTTGTGCAAGCCACTGGCATATCAAGCCTGGATATCTCAAGAACTTCCTACCTGTTCCATCCCACCACTGTTGGTTTCCTCAGGATATTATGACTGTAGTAGCCAGAGAGAACCAGCCAGCACTGTGCATGCTCAAAACCCTCTGCTGGCTTCCACTTCACTTAGAAAAAGGCCCAAGTCTCCACAGTCACATGTTTGGAGGCTCCGGATCTGCTCTTACTTGTCCATCCTGGCATCTAGGCACTCCCAGCCCTCGTAGCTTCAGTTGACCCCTAGAGCTGGAGGGCCTTTGTACTTGCTATGCTCTCTGCTTGCACTACTCTTCCTCAAGACTTTTGCCTGGTGTTTCTATCAGTCTAGAGTGTTAACCGTGGCACCAACCTAGTGTTTTCTCACAGAGAGTCAAATCTCTGCACAAATGTCACCTTATCAGATTGGCCTTCCACTACAACCCTATGTGAAATAGTCCAGCAAGCTGTTTTGGGAATTTATCAGTTTCTGACACCAATCTATCAGCGTTACATATTAATTTTGCCACTTGCTTTGTGCCTGTCTCCCTAGGCTACAATGGGACCTCCATAAGGATGGGCTGTTGCATGTTTCTCAGCACCTAGAACAGTGTTTGGCAATGTTGTGGGTGCTCAGGAGTGTTTCCTGAATGAACACATAAGCGACTTAACCCTGTGTGTTGAAGACTTCTTGATTTTTTTTTTTTTTTTGGTCTTTTTGAGACAGGGTCTCCCTGTAGCCCCAGCTGTCCTGGAACTCACTACATAGACCAGGCTGGCCTTGAGCTCACACAGATCCGCCTGCTTCTGCCTCCCGAGTGTTGGGATTAAAGGCATGCGCCACCACGCCTGGCCTAGTCTATCTTATTTTTAAAATTAATTTAAAATTATGAAAATATTTGTGTCTGGCTCTCTCTTACTTGCAGGCCTCTCTCCGGGATAAGTTGATTGCACCCTCCACGCCTTGACTCCCCCAGCCTCATTCACCCTCCCATCTCCCCTGCCCATCTCTCCTCCTAGCTTGGGTCCTGTCCCATTCCTTGTCTTGGCGCCCCAGACACCTGGGGAACCACCACTGCTTCCTGATACTTTGCATCCAGAACAACTCAGTTCCTTCTCGGGTCCCCAGGAGCACTCAGGGCCTGGCTCTACCCTCACCTCCCTCTACTTCCCTGGGCCTGCGTGACCCCATCAGCCTCTTTCCTGGACTCCGGGGCTGACCTTTCCTCTTCCTGATCCTTTGCATCCAGACCAACCCAGCTCCTCAGTGCAGTCTCTAGGAGCCCTTGGGGCCTCTTCTTGCCCCCATCTCCCTTTGCATCTCTGGGTGGCACAGCCACCAGCTGGCCTAGACCAGTATCTTTCCTGGGCCTGACTCCCAGGCCAGTCCAACCCCCCAGTTCCTGAGACCAAAATCTTTCAGAAGCTTAGACGAACCAGCTCTTCATACCCAAAAAGTAAACAAGAAAGACACATAAAATTCAAAAAAAGAAGCAGAACTAAACTTGAAGAGTCAGAAACTACAAAAGAAATTCACATGTCAAAATCACAGAGAAAAAATAATAACATGAAAAACCAAAATAACATATCCCCACCAAATACCAATAGTACTCTAGAGGAGCACAATGAGAACCCCCTAGAGATAATGCAGGACATGGGACTCAAAAGAACAATTATAAATGTGATAAAAGAATTCGGTGAATTTAAAGAACACACAAACAAATAAAAGAACTGAAGGAAGATAGGGATAAACTTCTGAATGAATTCAGAAAAGAGTTAGAAATATTGAAGACCGCTCAGGCTGAAATGAAGAAGGAAGTGAAACACTCAGTAAGCCAATTAGAAACGACAGTAGAAAGCCTCACCAATAGGATGAATGGAAAGTGGACC